AACACTAATGAAAGCCAAACTAGAGTCTATAGTGCTGTAACATGCAGTCACAGGGAGAAGACACAACGAATCAGTAAATTGCATTATACGTAACAACAGTGAGCCTTCAAATGTCTCTGGGTTCTTCATCTGTGGTTTGGCAATCCTTCACTGTTGTGGTAATGATTGGATAGGCTGTAACGCAAACGACAGGCAGCTCGGTCAGAACCGCGCGGTTAAAAATGCCCGGTCTAATTCAAATGATGTTTTCCTCTACAGTGCTTCCCGTATTTACTACTACAGCTTGCTAGACGAACTGCAAATTGTGTGTGAGGATGAAGTTTGAAGGATGAGCTTAGATATATACATATATATCCCTGGAAGCGCACAACCGGGTTCGCGGTTCTGGCCACTCGTCAGGCACGCATGTCCAGTCGTTCACATACTACTTCGTATGAAATATATATATATATTATACACTAAAACAGAAACACACTACCGAATGGAATTTTCAGGTGCGATTCGTTTGTAGTTTATCCGATTGAACTGCGTCAAATTACAAACCATGATCACATGATCACCGATCCATTCACGCAATTACCCCCCCCCCCCGGAATCGTTTGTCATTCTGATGTGGATACACCAATAATTTTGTTTTGACCTTTCGATGCTTATGGAAACCACTATATAGATAGTCACAATTGTCAGTCCGTGCTAGAGGCATTTAACGGAAGAGGAGAGTAAAACACACATTTGGTCTGGCTATGAACGCTTCGGGTCTGTTTTCGGCAACAACAAGAAAAACATGCGTAGAATTCAACCGTTTTATTCGTAACAAAGCGCGAAGCGGATCGGTTCAACTGCGAGAAAAACGCATAAAGCGATTTTCTTTTAATCAAGCCAGATCGATCCAGAATGCGGGAATACAGGGATTCAAAAAGAGACTACAGAGGAGGTGAAAAAATACGGGCAGGTCATGATGTAAGCCCAACTCTGGATAGCTCTGTTAAACAATTAATCATGGTGAAACCATCACCACCGCATTGAGGATGTTTGTAATAAAGTTTGTAAGGGATCATTTTATACACTGTAGTTTCATTGACGTGAATAGATAAACCGGGAGAAGAAGTATCCACAGTTAACCGTCGCTAATTCGCGAATAAGACAGGTAGCAGGACGCTGAGTTGACCGACCTCTGCAACACACACACACACAAAAGAACGAATCGCATGTGAATACGACCTGTTCATTTTGTAGAAAGAAACAGATTTTCACCTGGTCACCAAATTGGAAAGCACCGTCCTTCATTCTGAGCACATTACTAGAATCGTGTGAGCCTCTATGGCTTCTTCAAGGCGGAATGGGGAGTATTTTGTGGTGCATTTGTGCTATCTTCTTTCAGTTCCTTTCCTTTGAGGAATGTGGCCATTGAGTGTCAACAACAGTCTTCAGTCGGTTTCGTGGTGGCTAGGACACAGGTCCTTCTTCGTGTCTGTGAGAACGTTTTCACACAAATCTCGGGCAGTGGTAACATTCTGTTGAAAAATAATCCATTCTCTGCATTCACTCCAGATACAATACCTGAATATACTGGTTTGCCAACGCAGACATTTGCTGTAAAACAATCGTTTCAATGATTGTGTCATCCAAGAAATATGGACTCGGCAACGTATTGTTATGCATTTAAAAAGACTGTGCTCACTAAACTTGGACTTGTTTGCTAATTTCTCTATGAAGGTAGAAAATGGCTTCGTCAGTCCAGATTACATCTTCGAAACAGCGACATTCTTTTCGTAGATCCACCATCTCTTTCATCCTGGATCTAAAGCGGCTTTCGACTCACTCGATCACTCTAAATTCTGGCACTGCCTTTCCCTGATTGTTGTGCCCGGGAAGTTTATTGCAATATTACAATCCCTTTATTACTAACAGCCGAGGCCGAAGCCAAATCCGAGCTTACGGTACTTGTTCATCCGAGTTCACAACGGAAAGTGGTGTTCAACAGGGTTGTCCTATCTCTCTCTCCCTCCTTTCCTATTTAATGAAAACAGCCCTATTCGAGTGTGAGGATAGCAGCATCGATTTACTCCCAGGTGGCAGACTGTCTGATCTGGAATATGTAGATAACATTTTACTGTTAATTGAATATCCAGATAAGTTACAAGCCTTGCTGAATAGTTTGAGTGGTAGTGTCACTATGTTCGGTATGCGTTTCGCACTTTCAAAGTTTAAAATGATACTACACGACTGGGTTGTTCCAGCACCCAGCCTCACTCTAACTGGGGAAGTAATAGAGCAAGTGGATAATTTTTATTATTTGGTTAGCTACATCTCACCCGGTGGACGCATCATACACGAATAAAACAGGATAAAGATAGAACGTTGAACGTTGCTGTCTACGCAGCATTATACGAATAGGGTGGAGAAACGGTACAAGTAAAGCGAGGTTAGGCGTAGAATTTTAGATAATCGCGGTCGTCCACTGAAACAATTGGTCGACCTGCATAGACTACACTGGTTGGGATACGTGTTGCGCATGTCACCTAATCGGTTGCAGGGCGAGTGATGTTGACCCAGCCAAGTAGAGGGAGGGAGAATTGAAAAAGCCAAGGCTGGTCAAACTAAGACCTGGCACGAGGGTGTAAAAACCCTAACCAGGGGACTGGGTCACATAGGTTCCGTTAGACTCCCTGGATGGGACCTCGGGATGATCGTAACCGAGGGTAAAAACACTGAGTTATATGAAGGAGTGTCGTAAACAATCGCGTTCGTGCATCTCCGCGAAATTGACCCTTTTCTCTTCAACTCTACTTTCAACTGTATTTCTCCTACTGTTTCATCCAAATGGACAGCAATCAAAACCGGTTCACGAAAATGCATGAGAAATGATTGAACAAACTGAACTGAAAACTGATTACATTTCCATAAACAATGAATTTGTTATCCAGGTACAACTTCAAGTCAATTGAATGTATGATTTATGCATCGATATTTGATGTACGTTCCGAATAAGTTGTATACTGAATGATCAGAGTCATTGAACGTAATCGTTCTTTAAATTCTACGCGATTTCTGCATCGGTATCTGATGGGGAAAAAATTTGCATCCGTGAAAGGAAACACGGGACAGCATGTGTTGTATGGGTAAATCGCTATGCGGGTTTAAGGACAAGGATTTTTTTACACTATTTCTCAACTCATTGATTTCTTCCTCAAACGATATGGTTTGAAAAAAGACGCTTTTCACACTACCGGTTTTGTCTAGTTGCTTTTCATCACACGTGAGCTAGCTGCCTGAGAATCAAACAGTACACACAGAGTTCCTACCGCCGACACTTGTATTTAACCCATCATTTCAAAATATTCCGTTTAAGGACACTACTATTGGTGTAGTCGTAACAGTAGCCATAACTCAGACAAATCCGTACGCCGGCAACCAGACAGCCGTAAGGGGATGAACTAGATCAACTGAACATGCCTCTGGCCATAGTTTAATGATGATATCAGGTGATGGTGACCTGATCGTAAAACGGAATACGGATGACTTTTGCATGCGGTTTGCTTCTGGCGCGAATGCTTTTGGTGTTGACCCAGTTTAGTTTCACCAACCACTCGGACCAATCCAAGTTTTCCCGGTGACATGCGTTTCTGTCTGCTTTCGATCTGTTTTTGCTCTATCCAAGAAATGGTATATATACACACATACGTACGTGCTCATGCGTTCATGCGTCTGTCCCACCGCCTGTCTGTCCTTCCATCTTTTTGTCTGCCTGCCTGCCTACCTGCCTGTCAGTCTGTCTCCCGCTCTCGCTCTCCCTGTCTGAATTACAATCCGTTTTTGAGCTCGGCATCGATTTTGTATTGCGAGTGGAACAACCCACCATACCTCTACTGTGATTGGTAGATTTGGCAAGACAGGGAGACCTCGTTTTTTGTCAAGATTACCTCTAAATAAAATAGTGATTGAGTTTATTATTCACTCGGTTAGGTGGTTTCTCACATTCATATATGAGCAATGCACATTCAGATGAGCACTAGTCAATCGGTTGTAAAGTGTTCAAACACAAACAGTCAATATTGACGGGAACAAAAGACAAGGAAAATATATTTGATCATTTCAAAACATGCTTCAAGCCACTGCCTCTTTGATGGCCGAAGCTCGAGCTGAGGAACAAGGTCGTTTGCTATCCTCTTATATGGGTGACAAAACCGAACCGACCGGGGGGACGTTGAAAAGAGAGCTCAGTCGCCGGTCCGGTTACACACTGACTACTCGTCTTCGTACCCGAGTCTGTTCCGATTCATGTCTCAAGGTGGTCTATCTGTCCTGTGCCACCCTTATCTCAGCCAGTTTCATAGTGGAATGTATCCTGTTGCATTTGATTATTGTGCCCTATCTGTCCGAATCGGTGTTCGAGGCTGGAGCATGCCGATACATCAGTTCCCGATCCGAGATGAAAAAACGTTGTGAGAACAAGTGCTCGAAAGAACGTTCGTATTTCCCGTGCCTACAAATCAGTGTACGATTCACACCGTTTCGACAAATACTTCCCGTGTCTGGAGTCGGTACAAACGGGACGGCCACAACTGGATCGATTCGAACAGGTGCAGAATCTGTCTTAGTCCAATCGTGGAACCGGTTCTTGTCGGAAGGATTACATTCGTCCCAGTACGACTCGTTATGGGACAGTGTACAAAGAAGGGAACTAACTAAGGAGATGTTGCAAGGTTTGAATACAACAGAATCGCGTATGGTTTATCTGTATGATTATTTCAGCACATTTGCCGCACACAAAGCTGCTCGAGTGAGTTCGCACGGTTTAATCTGTTCGTCGGATGACAGTAACGGTCTTCATCTTTTTTCTCATATCTTGTACATGCAAAGAAGAGGTCCAGTTTTAAGGAAAAGGGTGTGTGTGTGTGGTGGTGGTGATGATGATGATGATGATGATGA